TGCACAGGTGCCATGAGGTCCCGTTTGTCCTTACCTTCCCCACTGAGTCTCTTTCTTCTTCCCAAAAGTCTGTTTCATGCCTAGGCACAGATTCAGGAATAAGGTAATCTCTTTGAGAGCAAACCTTAGGTGTTATTCATTGTTAAATCACAGGCCAGGCAGTCAACAAATGCTTCTTGATTTTCTTTAAAAAATTACCTTTGTGTTTTCCCTTTCTATTTTCTTCTATTAATGTTTTAAGAATTGAGTTAATTTCAGACTGGAAAGAATCAGAGATTTTAATTCTCATATTTAACAGATAAGCAGAGTTTTAGTACTCACTCAAATTTATTTATTTATTTTTGTTGAGGAAGAATTGCCCTCAGTTAACATCCGCTGCCAATCTTCCTCTTTTTTTTTATGTGAGCCACCACCACAGCATCACCACTAAGAGTCAAGTAGTGTAGCTCTGCATCCAGAACCGAACCTGGGCCACCAAAGTGGCGTGCACAGAACCCCAACCACTAGGCCATCAGGGACAGCCCAGTGCTTATGCAAATTTACTCAACTAGTTGATGGAAGGACAAATACTAGAATCAGGTCTCTTGGCTTCTAGCCCCCTGCTTTGTCTTCTCCATTATATGGCTTAATTGTAATGAAAATAACTTGCCTTTGTCAAGTAATTTATATGTTTCAATATGTCACACATGTTATCTTAGTTAATCCTTTCAATAACTCTGAGGTAAGCAGGGGGATTATTTCCTTTCTTCAAGTAAAGCGGTAGAGACAAAAATGAATCAAGTTACTTATCCAAGGTCATTTTTTATATAAAAATAAAAAATTTTTTTCTTTTACACTTTTTTTTTTGCTGAGGAATATTAGCCCTAAGCTAACATCTGTTGCCAATCTTCTTCTTTTTTTTTTGGCTTAAAGAAGATTAGCCCTGAGCTAACATCTATGCCAATCTTCCTTCACTTTATATGCAGGTCACTGCCACAGCATGGCTGACGAGTGGTGCAGGTCTGTGCCCAGGATCTGAACCTGATAACTCGGGCCACCAAAGTGGAGCATGCTGAACTTACCCACTATGCCACGGGGCCAGCCCCTCTTTTACTCTTTTTAAAGGATATTATAAAAACGAATGGCTTTTTATTCTTTTTGTCTTGCAGATGGCTGAATTTGTAAAATGCATGAATTAATGCATTTGCAAAGAATAGACCAACAATCAGTTATTTTGTCATTTTCGTGATGAATGTGTATCATCACAGAGTCCACCTGACTCTGGTGGCCAGCATAGATGGTGAGGACAGTGACTCAAGGGATATTTTTGTGAAAGACTTTTGAAAGGGGCAGGGAAAAATGACCAAGTGTCCTTTCAGTAGAGTACAGAGTGTTGTCCAGCAGACTCTCTGGGATTGTCTGATCTATGGGGGTGTGAACGTTTGGTTGTCTTGGGTCCGTTTATGTAGCAGCTCTGTACAGATGGAAGTTAGGGTGCAGCTGTTTCATGTCCATCGTGAAGCAAATGAATCCTCTTCATTACAAAACAGATGGACTTTGTCCAGTAAAGAATATAAATCTCATTTCAGTGCCCAAGTTATAAGAGAGCAGGGCATCTTGATTACTGGTGTCATCAGGTTATCAAATGGAGAAGAGAAAATCAGTCTGTTTTCCTAAAACATGTGGAATGAGCATTAGACAGCCAAAAGCAAGCAAACCAAAACAAGAAATATCCAACATAGATGCCTAAAAATGTACAAGAAAGCAAGGGTGCAAAATGGTAATGACAGATTGGCAGTAAATATTTTCAACATGTACATTATATACACATAAACATACACATATCTAGATTTTATAAAGAGGTCTTTCAAATCATTAAGAAAAAAAATCATCCACAAGAACCAAAAAATAGAAAGGTTGGTAAAGGATACAAAAAGGAAAAAAATACAGAAATAAAAATCACCTGATGGGACACTTAATGCCACTACTAATCAGGTGGATGCAAGTTAAATGACAGTGAATTTTTTGCCATCGATTATGCACGTTAAAAAGGACAGCGTTCCCATGTTCATTACAGCATTACTCACAATAGCGAAGGAATGGAAACAGCCTAAGTGGCTGTCCACCAGTGAATGGATAATGGAAATATGGTATATATAGACACAATGGAATATTATTCAGCCTTAAAAAAGGAAGGAAATCCTGTCATTTGTGACAAGATGAATGAACCTGGAGGGCATTATGCTGAGTGAAATAAGACAGTCAGAGAAAGACAAATGCTGCATGATATCACTTATATGTGGAATCTAAAAAAAAGTTGAACTCATAGAAACAGAGAGTAGAAAAGTAGTTGCCAGGGCTGGAGGGTTGAGGAAGTAAGGAGAGGTTGGTTAAAGGTACAAACTTTCAGCTGTAAGATGAAAAAGATCTGAGCATCTAATGCAAAACATGGCGACTACAGTTGATGAGACTGTACTGGATAATGGAAATTCGCTGTGAGAGCAGAACTTAAATGTTCTCAGCAAAAAAAAAAAGAGGTAAGTATGTTGTATGCTTTAAATATCTTACATTTAATTAAATTAATTAATTAATCTAAATTAATCTTATAATTTTGTCAATTATACCTCAATAAAGCTGGGGGGAAAAAAGGATGGTGGTCGCATGCAAGGTTGTTGGTGGTATAAGATGCTATCTACTTTTGGAAGGACAGTTTTAGTACTCAAAAAGCTCTGTGCAAAAATACTGACCTGTAATTTTACTCTTAGATATCTATTGTGCAGTAATGCTTACATAAGTGCCCAAAAAATATGAAAAGAGTATTTTTTATGGCGTTGTTGGTAATATCAAGAAATGGTAAAGTAAAATTAATACATAAAACAAACTTCTGGAATAATCTACACCAAACAGTGTTTACCTGATCAACAGCATTAATGTTTTCACCACTGGTGAAAGAAAAGGGCTGGGTGAGACAATCGTGTTTTTTCTTACATCCTTTTCTATTGTCGGAATTTGTTACAAACAGTTAGGTATTTTTTTATTACTTTTATAATATAAGAACTTGAAAAGGAGAAAATAAAACTACCTGTTCCTAGTCCAAATTTGAGGCAATGAAATTCTTTAGTTCTACTCATAATACTTAACAATGTGATTATTTCTAATGTTCTTCCATTTGAGGAAAGAGAAGAGCAGAGAAACTCAGAAGGGGTTATTTCTTACTAAAGTGTTAGTGATTGAGCCTTTTGAAGTAGGGAGACATTTACACCCAGATTGCCATTATTTTTAAGTTGAAAAGAGCTGATTAAGTCTGGGCAAGTGGCTTAAATATGAACACCTTATGTTAAGTGCTGTTTCTCTGCTGAAGACTATGTGTGGGACAACCAACAAAATTGACGACTTCTTCCAATGTTTTGTTTTCAGAAATGGCTGCATTAAAGTGACAGGGAGTGCGATGTGAGGAAAAGAGTGTTGAAAGAAAGGCCTGAGCCTATGGCTGGCCCTGAGTCCCACTAGCTGTGTGACCTAGCTGTGCACACGTAGCCACAAAGCCTCCAGTCCCTCTGTGTAGTGATAGTAGTACCACTCTCCCTTCTTCACAGGGTTGACCCTTGGGCTGAATGAGAGTTCACGTGTGAAGGCATTTTATAAACTGTATCAAAATGAAAGACGTTACCACATCAGGACCTACTTTATAGACTTTCTTCTCACCCTGTGCTTTTCCTTCTTAGATCTCAAACTAAGGCAGAAACAAGGAACTGGGCAATATTTGTGCAATGTTTAATGTTTGCCTCAAACTCTGGATTCTTCTTCGGTTTTTTTTGTGTGTCAGTTTTCTATTACTTAACAAAGTACCCGGCATTTAGCATCTGCTCCATAAATAGTTGAATAAGTGAGTGAGTGAATGAATGAATAAAATCAGGTTAATTTTACCTCTGTGTTCCCCAATGCTTTTCTAGTAATGTACAGGTTAACGGAAACAGGTGGAAGAGTTTGTTTAGGAAAACAAAATCACCACACTCCCCAGACTTCAGAGCTGTAGTTTTGGGCTAGGGGGGTTGAGAACCTTTATCCCACCCCCACTGGCTCAGAGGAATTCCATCAGGGTAGCGAGACCATAATCTGCCACAGCCACTGCCCCTCTGCTGTGCAGGAAACACTGGCAGGATGAGCTCGGTCCTGTCGCCTAATGCGTTTCTGGAGAGATCGCCTTCAGAATTTTTTATTTAGGGTCAGTCAGAGAATTTAGAAAAGCTATTGACTTTAAAGGGACAGAACACCAAGCAAAAAACCTCTTTTGAAGCACAGACTTCATTGTTGTTTTTATTATAACAACAACCATTTAAGTATCAATTTTGGGACAACTTTCATTAACAAACCAAACCTAAACCAATCAAAACCAAAAAGGCTCTTCTTGCCCGTGCTTTATGTTGATGGAATGGAGTTTGCAGCCAACTGATCTGTGCTCTACACGACTGCCCTTGGCATCTTTGAAAAGTAGTTTGATCCTTAGTTAATTATTTCTCCAATATCCTTTCATTACATTTACTTGACATTATAAGCATCTTTCTCTGTACATCACATTAAGGGTATATTGGCAATTCTGAAATTAAATAACAAAGTGGCTGTAAGACACATTCTAGCTCCAGGTGGTAAAATCTTGAAAATATTGGATTTTCTTTGCTTTTTTAACAAAGGGAAAGTAATGATTTTCTGAGTCTTAATAGAGAGTGAAAACATTTTGGGAAATGTTCTAAGCTTAAAGACTCGCTCAAAATGCATCTACTTCTCTTGCAAAAGGTAAACAAACCTGATCTTTCTTCAACTGGATATTCCCTCAGTCCAGTGAGAGAGGGACTCTGGAAGACGGTCGTTAGAATGAAATGTGAGGGAGGCCCAGAGATAGAAACACGAAGGGATGTAACTGTCTTTACCTAATTCCTTGCTTCCTCCTCCCCCATCTTTGGGATAGAATTCATGCAGATTTAATCAGCGCTCTTCGTGGTTTTTATTCATTCTGTCACCAGATGGTGCCGCACTCTGTGAAGGCTCTGCGTGGAGCCCTCTTTCTCCCGGCAATCAGGAGCTGTGGTCTTGCTAGAACGCACAGTAAAGAGCACGAGAAACTGCTAAGTAGAAGGTGGGTTTTTATTTCCCATCAGCTTGTCTATATTTATGCCTCTCTTTGCAGTGTAGTGGTATTTTTTTCTCAGTCCTCTAGGGCAGTTTCCTTTTATTTTGTCCCAATGCATTATTAAACATTACTTTGCGATAAAAATAATTTAACAATTTTTTTTCCAAATTGTAATACGTCTTCTCTAAGTTTTGCATCCTGCTGAGACATAGTTTAATAGGGAATGCCAAACTGAAGCTTATGCCATATTAGATGTGTTGTGCAAATTCTGAAAATGAAACTTGCGTAAGACAATGACATGTCACAGTTTATTAGGACTGTCAAAACCTTTTTTAAAGAGTCATTATACCAGTAATTTTTGCTGACATCATAGAATATAGGGCACGCTCATTAGGATAAATGTAACTGTAAAATAAATTAAACAAAATTAAACAAAACAAACCAGAATTTATTTTATAAAATAAATTGCAAAGAGAATATTCCAAAACAAATAAATTATGGGATTTTGATGTAAGACTTCTCTTAATGCACATAAGAAAAAGAATGCTACATAAAGAGACACTTTGTTCTCCGAACAATTGTAGTCTAATATTCTGATTCCTTTGTCAAAGCTGTATAACGTAAGTTAGTGTTATTCTGTAAATATTATTTAGAAGTGATTAATATAATAATATGTGCATTTTGTTTCCTATAGATTCTTTTGTTTTTCCTGAAGTTTATATTTGTCTTTGTTTTTATTTGTTTAGTTTCCTATATACCAACCATTAATTTGTCTCCTAAATTTCTAACTTTAATATGTTTAATATATTTCTAAATTTAACATATTTTAAAAATCAAATCTCATTTTGTTCTTTGAATTATGCCTTTTGGAGCCTTGTTTTATCCAGTTACAATGTAGACTTTTCATCTCTAGGCCTTCAATGCCACTATCATCCTGAGGCCTTAATTAATATCCTAAGACTTTGTTTCAACTTTTTCTTGGTTTTCTTCCCCATTTAGTGGAAAATATCATCCAATACCTTCTTGAGAAATATCATAAGTGATAAATGTCTTGAGTCCATGCCTGAAGAATGCTTCTGTTCTGCCCTCACCCTTGATTATTAGTTGGTCTTATTTAGACTTAGGGATTGGAAATAATTTCTCTTCAGAACTTTGAATGTGTTCTGCCATGACCTTCAAGCTTGCAGTGTTGCTGTTAAGAAGTTCTGTGTTCATATGTTCTGATTCTTTTTTTTGTCTGTGAAAGTTTTTAGGATTTTCTCTTTATCCATGGCTTTCTGCTATTTCACAGGGATTCCCTCAGTATAAATCTGTTTTAAAATCATTGTGTGGGATCTCGAGAGTTATTTCAACTGGGAATGCATATTTAATTCTGGGAAATTTTCTACTGTTTTAATTTATTCTCTCATCAAAACTTCAGTTTTTGAAAATTCTATCTCCTAGACGTTCTATCCAATTCTCTTGCCTTTTCCCCGCATCTTGGTTTTCATTAATTTTTAATTTCTGCTATCATATTTTTCATTTTCAATATTTCTTTCGTGACTTCTGGTTGTTGTCTTTAAAAGCTCTTGTTCTCATTTCATGAATGTAATGGCTAATAATTTTTTGGTGTTTTTTTTTAAAGCTTCAGAGCATGGTTGTGCATCCTGGTTGTTAGTTTAATTCTCTATGTGAGCCTCCTGGTTCCACGACCAGGAAACAAACCCGGGCCATGGTGCTAAGAGCGCCAAATCTTAACCCCTAGACCACCAGGGCTGGCTCTTGGTATGTTTTCTTTAATCCTACTTTACCTGTGTTTTTTTTGTTTCTTTTTTGTTTTAGACTCTGGTTTTCATGTTTGAGTCTTTGCTTAAATGTCTAATGATCCTTTCATGTTTGTGTTAATTCACGTGAAATTGCTATTTTTATAGGTTAGAAAAGGTTGAGTATTGGCAATTTTATATGGTTTAATTAAGAATAAGGTCTTAAAAAGCTAAAGTAGTAGATGCAGAGTGGGCGTGTTGACAACTGGGTCATTTAGGAAGTGGCACCGTACTTCTACCCTCAGCTGCGTCTGGTTCCCTATGTACAAGAGCCTGTCCTGTGTGACTTCTCCAGACAGCAAACCTCCAATCTACTGCTGGAATAAAAAAGGGTTAGTGGCCTGAGAATACAGACAAGGGAAGAAGATCCAGAGATATAACTATTTATTTAAAAATTTCAACCAATCCTACTTTCCACCGTACTCTGCATTTTAGAAATATCTGGAGTGAGCAATTCCTGAGCCTTCCCAATGTTCTGCAGCAGGCGTCGGCTTGCTTCTCCTTCACCTTGCCTGCCCCCCTGCCCTTGTATTTTGCTATGTCAGTTACCATTTATCCTTTTACTGTCCAAAACTTTAACTTCTATTGTTTTCTGCTGTTTCTTCTCTTGTCTTTTATTTGTGCGCTTATGCCTGTTGTTTTTTTTTTTTTCATGCTTGAGAAACATTGGCCCTGAGCTAAGATCTGTTGCCAATCATCTTCCTTTTCTTTTTTTCTCCCCAAAGCCCCAGTGCATAGTTGCATATCCCAGTTGTAAGTCACTCTGATTCCTCTATGTGGGACGCCACCACAGCATGGCCTGATAAGCAGTGTGTAGGTCTGCACCCAGGATCCAAACTGGTGAACCCCGGGCCACGGAAGCAGAGCAAGTGAAATTAACCACACAGCCATGGGGCTGGCCCCAAGCTTATGCCTATTTTATATAGTTCATTTTGGGGAAGGAACAGAGATAGATGCATGTGCTCACTCCCAAAAATTTTGGGTTAAAAATTGAGATAATTTATTTTCACCGCTTAATTTTGTAGAAACACATCATCCCAGAAAAGTGGGATTTGATCAAGTCATTGAGAGTTCAGTTATACAGAACCAGGACTAGACTCCCGATGCCTGATTCTCAGTATAATTTCTGCTCCAACATTCTCTCTCCTTACAGACCATCAATCTTTCCTCTTCATTACACATATGATTGGATTTTATTTCAAGGAACTTACCTCTACTTCTTTAAATAATTCAACAGCCACAAGGCTATAGCAAATTCACTCCCTGGCTCATTGCTTGTAGAAAGTGCTTTTCCATTGTTGTCCCAATATATGCGTGTGCTCCTCTAGTGAATGATGAAGTGTTTAAATTTTCACAAGTAGTGCAGCAAAAAGTAGGCAGTCATTATTTTTATATGTGGAATGAATGTTTATAACCTAGAGGAGAGGTTTGTTCTGGGTTGGAGATAACAAGTGTTTTTCTTTTTAAACAATTGTAAGAACAGAACAAATGAACCTCTTGAATGGTGTGATCTAATTTTCCTAAATTGTCTCCCTTCTTCTAACTTTGCCTTTTTACATTCCTCTCTTTACATAACCAGAACAATTCTCATCTCTTGCCTGTTGCAAACCTGTGTTGGTTTTATGAGAATCTTGAGGTTTTTCCAGCATCATTTTTGTTGAATAATGTTATGAAATATTTTTTTAAGTTATAATATCCAGTATGTATGCAATGAAAGTTAGAGATAATCTTAGAGATTGAATTTCTTTATTATCTAACTAAAAATCTTTGTTTTCTAATCAGGAAATATTATTGTCCTTTTTTACACTAGTAAGCAACTTCTTTACTTTTTTTCCGAAATTTAAGGTGTATTTTAAAAACAACTTTTTATTTTCTTATGAAATTTTTAAGGTTTTGCAACCTACAAATCAATGACTGTGATTTGGGAAATTTACTTTAGATTCTTAGTTGTGTGAGTCATATTACACAACTATATTTCTGAAAATTCTTTGGCATTTAAAAGTTATCCTGTGTTTGTTCTTCGTAAACTAAAGGCCACCTTTTTCTATCAGACCTAAGGTTTCTCCTAGAGCAGTTTCTTCTGATATTTCAACTGACAAGAAAGGAAGAAAGAAAAAGAAAGGAAAAACAATAGAAAGGAAAGAAGGAAGAATGGAAGGAAGGAAGGGAAAAAACCATAATGCACGCAAAAGTTCCCCATCACTAAAACCAAAGTGAAAGGTTAATACTCTGCTAGTAGGAATATGACTTTTCCAAGCATTTTTACCAGTAATAATAACAGCGACAACAGTCATTTATTGAACGCTGTCTATGTGCCAGGCTCAGAAAAAAACATTTTGCAAGTATCTTCTCACTTAATATCCATACTGCAACTTAATGCTGGTGCTACAAAATGTTAATTAACTTGCTCTGGGTCACCCAGCTAGTAGGTGGCATTGCCACCTTGAACCCAGGTCTCCTAATTTGATGCTCTGACACTATCCGATATTGTCTCACAGTATCTCCCATCATTAAATCATGAATAAAAATGCAAAAATATCCTTCAAGGTTGAGTTAAGAAACTGGAAATATTTGTGGTTACGCGTTTTGTTTCCTCCATTGAAAAATAGATCGTGTTTCACAGTTTTAAATCACAACAATTCCATTAGCATTCAGCTTTTGCTGTGAAAGGGTTTGGATCTTTGCCATAAAATGCCCTTTAAAGTGAAATTTGGCCAAGTTGTAGCCTAGGACCAATAGCGGGGCAAAATTGAACTATTAAAATGAAATTGCCAGACTTGAGTGGTCTAGCAACCATAATGCATTATGCTGACTACGTAGATTCCAAAGTTCTTTTTAATGCCAATAAAGAACTACTTTTTCATGTTCAGAGATATTCACAAATAGTTTACCTAATTTCTTTCGCTTATTTTGGAACCAGGCAATCATACGAGCTTGTAAACCACAGCTAGAAGAAGATGCGTACTTCCCATCCCCCAGTTCCATACCCAATCCATTATGTACAGGAACCTAGGGTAGGGAATACATAGCCTGAGCTGTAATGCACAGAATTATTGGCTTATTTGGCAAGTTAGGACGCTTGGTTGTAAATGAGAGAAATTCAAAAGAACTTAGACACAAAACGAATTGATTGGTTCTTGTAAATGTAAATTGGGGGGGTATTTGCCTTGAGGCATGCCTGGATCCAGATGATGTAATAATGTT